AAGGCTGTGCACTAGCGCGGGTTTACGCTGTTCTCTCCTCAAAAAGCTCAATCTCTGCTGAGCTGAGATTTTCATTGGTGTTATTTTTGGAAACGTGCAAAATCATGCAATGCAAATATATGCCTTTTAAGCTTGTACTCGGGTTCCCCTCTCGTGCCGCCTTACTTTGTAACTCTATGCCGAAATCGTGCTTCCCATTCTTATACTGTAACTCGGTTTAAAAACAGCGTCAACAGAAATGGCCCTCTCTTTTTATAATGATTACCCTTTTTTCTCAGATTTTCTGAGAATAGCCGTTGGTTATATATTTGTGGTTGGTCAACTCATTTTAAAAAATGCGTCGGTTCCCAACTTACCACCACTTTACATGTTAAAATTGCCAATGGGTCTCCCCTTTCTGTTTGAAATATTATTTTATTAGTGTTAAGTTTTGGATATGAGACGGGCCATTTTTTATTTACTGAAGTAGTGCAAACCCGACCTGAACCAAGAACCAAACCGACGCGAAATCGACCTCGGTTCGATTCGTTTTTTGGCATCCATTTAGTCAGTTAGGGTCGGTTTATGTTTGCGATGTTCGGATCGGATCGGTCTAGTTACACTATGTGTGAGAAACCCTACTCCAAACCGAGTCATATGAAACTCCCTTTCTTTTGATAATGTCATCGCGCAGTGATATCCGAATGAAATAAAAGCTAAATATACTGTTGAGATGTGAAAATATTGATAATGTTTATAAGGCCAACAAAAAAAAGTCTCCGGTTTCTGGTATGCGCGCGCATCGCCGTAGCCATGCGCGTCGGCAAAATGAAAAAGTTTTTTTTTCAATGAAAGATGATGTCTCAAAACCGCCAAACTCACTGGTTTGACTGGAATCCTGCTGCTGCACAATTTTAACGTGTTTTTAGATTGGGTTATGGTCGAGAATAAGCTTTATGTGGCCTCTCTGGACTCCCATAAATTTGCAATAAGTTTAGTCGGGCACCATTTTGCAGTCATCAGCACACATTTGAAGCAAAATAATCAGGTAAAAAAAAAAAAAGCCGCGTCGCCGCACCACTTTTTGGGCAAGCTCCATACCAGAAACCGGAGACTTTTTTTTGGCCTAATGAACTTGAGACAATATTCTACACACCAAAATTGTTGGTAACTATTACATTTATTAATATGCACGCGGAGGGGTTAGGGTTGTTATTTGCGTCCACAAACAAAAACTACTGGGAGTGGGGGTCACAATACTTTCCCTTGGTGAAACAAATCTCTGCCCACGTAAAACAATCAATCAGTAGACACATTGAATGAAAGCACTTAGACTGATTGTTTTTTTATGACCGCCACAAATTATACCTTTCGAACAGAATATAAATTAATACTCTCTGAATTCTAAAGAGTGAAAATTCACACCATTCGAGTGAAGATTCACTCCCACAGTCGGAAACTAGGGACTATAGACGATTAGAGTGAAATTTCTTCAATCGTACAGATCGAGTTTCACTCGAGCTTCGACTGAAGTGGTTCATTTTTCAGACTATTTCAATTGAAAATGAGAGTGATTTTCACTCTAAAACGTCTAGTCCCTAATTTCACTCTTTGGAATTTAGACAGTAATGGGTAACACGATGATCCTGCAGATTACGTACGTCTCAGACAATGTTACAAGGCGCACGTCATGAGAGAGAACGATTTAAAGTGATATTTTCCATGTCAAGTACATTCTCTTGCCATTTCGTCATGTACAACAGCCGCAGCGACTATAGTCGGTAGAACCACAGAAGCTTAAATTGACAATCTGCGAAAGATGGATATTAAAGACGACTTTTCTAAATTTCTCACTATGGAGGACGTCTTTCCCTGATACTCGTACGGTACCAGCTAAGGACATCTTCCAGAGATACAAGTCAGGCAAAGACGTCTTTTAAAAATAATTCAGTATTTCATCTATACCGAGATCTCAAGGAAACGCAGAAACTCGGATGGTCACTTTCAGCTTCCGTAGATAGTGTTTCCCGCGAAATTAAAAAGCGCGAGGGAAACAGGACCTGATTACTTGGAGGCCCAGGCCGGCCCCAAGAGTGAAATTAGGGACTAGACGTTGTAGAGTGAAAATCACTCTCATTTTCGATTGAAATAGTCTGAAAAAAAAGAACCACTTCAGTCGCAGCTCGAGTGAAACCTCGATCTTTACGATTGAAGGAATTTCACTCTAAAACGTCTATATAGTCCCTAGTTTCCGACTGTGGGAGTGAATCTTCACTCGAATGGAGTGAATGTTCACTCTTCTGAATTTAGAGAGCACCGAGAAGCCCTGCAAGGTCAAAAACGTCACAGCCTCGAATTTTCTCACGTAGTGTCGCTGAAACCTCGATGTTGACGACCCTCCTTTATTTCAATACGATTTGGTATGTCAACAAATTGAACGTCCGAATTCATGGGCTGAAATTCGAAAAGGTGTTTTTTTTATAAATAGCCAAAGGTCGGGGATAGGACTGCCTAACGTTGTGCACTTTAATCCCCGAGATGTCCGTTTGGTTTTCAACGCACGTTGTCAGTCATGTACTTTAAGAGATTTAATTAACTGCCGTAATTTACAAACACGGACTCAGCGTCATCACTTGGCTTAATACAATTGGGACTGTCCGCAAAGTACAGACTAACATCTTCGTAAAAGGTAGGCCTTACGGGGCTCGCTCGTTTGGCCGATCTCGGCAGCGAAGGCTCAGGATAAATGGCCCTCTGGTGATATAGATGGACAGGGAAGGAGGTGTGGTGGGCCGAGAAACCAGTGAGACACCAAAAGAACTTCGTCAGTAATGGGCTCATTGAGTTGAGTTCCTAATAAGTCAACACCAGAACTTGCGCCCTCTAGGTTGAGAGCTAAGTGATCCGACACAGCTAGCAGACACGACAACAGACCGATGCATTAAAACTGCAATCTATCTATGCCTTAGTCAATTCGGGAGTTACAAAATAACACAGGTATCCTTTCGAACTGGTGCTGATAAAATGTATGGTTTAAGTAAGCAACCAAATATATAGTAAGCATGGTTGTAAGTTATGCAGCCGATTTCACGAGACGGTGCATAACTTACGCCATGCGTAGGACGTACACTGCAAATTTGTTGCGCAGCTAGCTGCGCAATAAACTTTCGATCGATTTCACGAAACTTGGCGTAGTTGCGCAACGTTTTTAATAAAATTAACACCTTAAACGAGGACGATAACAACATGTTTGATGGTTGTTTGTGTATGACATTGTTTGGTCACGAAAAACAGTCGTTGAATCACCGCCCGGCCCGCCATTTTGAAAATAGTTTTGTTCCACTGTTTTTCGGAATCGTGCGTCAACTCTTAACAATAATATTCTGCCACAAATAAAAAGAAATTTAACTTACTTTAAACACAAGCTACAGGTGAATGTCTTGTAACAACCTTGATAAGTTGTGCAATGACGGACTACAAAGCGATCATGTCTGCTAGTAAAATGTTCACTTTCAGTCGCTATGTCGCAACTAGGCTAATTGCGCAAGTTACGCCATTATTCGTTGCCCAAGCTGCGGACTTATACGCACTATGAAACTTTCGTGAAATGTTACGCAGCTTACGCAATAAATATGCGGTGCAAAGGGAGTAATGCCATTGCGTAAAGTTTCGTGAAATCGGCTGCTGGAAGCTCGGTCGGATATATATCGGAAGCTGCGGGCCGACGAATTCGTGTTCCCACTGAGTGTTGGTTGGATGACTGTTAACATTTCTCCCAAGAATAACCATTTAATTTACATTGACACTTGGCCTTATTTTGACCTTTAACCCCATAGTTGTATAGTTCAGACGAAGAGGTCATCTGAGACATTGTATGACTATGTATGACCAAGGCCAACATGTTTACAGCGCTACTTTTGCCATTTGAGCTTCTTTGAAATCTGACTTATTTTGTTCTTTGACCCCAAGATGACCGTTGACCCCAGTTAGTCATGTGACAGGTTGGGGCTAGGCTATTGATACGGTCGACAAAGTTTGGTTGAAATCGGTCAAAATTTGTAGGAGGAATTGACAATGCCAACGTTTGTTACTATAATTATGACTTAAAGTAAACGGAGATGCATGATGATTTATTAAGCTGCTATCCCACAGCTAAAGATCTGAACATGCGTATACGCAGTGCTTGTGGGCGTAACCTTACGACCCTTCACCTTTTACCACCCCTCGACTGCCTTTTTAAGTTGTGATTCGTATGTACGTAGGGTATGCAATGCATGCATGGTATATGGTACACCGATGGATCTGGAATAAATTGCTTTACTGGAAAATAAGTGAATAAATCCATCACAGATTACAAAGTCAGATACTATTTTAGGAACTTGAGGACTTTGACCAAAAAGTGTCATGTCCACAGCCAGTTTGATTAGCAAGATAGCAGGTCAGGGAATAGCTGCTTGGTTTGCGTGTGGTTTCACACGTTATACATATGGTGATCGTTTAAATAGTTTCTCGAGAGGTCAAGCTTTTGAGCAATAAACACATTTCAACAAAATTATCCTAGAGTAAGGTGCCCTAGTGGGCACGGGGTACGCAGAGGTGGCATGGAAAGGACACGGAGCCTCCCTTTTAAAGCTTCCTCCGCCTCCCACTTGAGCCCTGTGCCCCTTGGCCCCAGTTCATATTTTGGAAAAGGCGAAACAGCTTTTTATTTTTGAAGCCCAAGTTTCAGTGCCCCTCAGATCAAGCCATTAAGAACAAATAAATAATAACAGGTCTGTAAGCCTCACTTGTTCCTAGTTGAGACCCAAGCTAGCTTCACCAAATGGCGTGCATGTGTGAAGACACACACGCCATTTGTTGGAGGTTCACACATTTTCAGACGCGAGACATTTATTTTCCAAGCCGATTAATAAAGTCGTGTGTCCCTGTCTCATATTGACAGATGAATTATTATGTTGTGGGCAATTGTAGCCCTCACTTCATTATTAGTCTGTTGATAAGGTTCAGTTTTATAACATTGATATCGAACTTTTATTCACAGAATGCCTTGTGCAAATCACAACCCTTGATGATCTACCTGTCTGACACAACCAACTTACGTTCAAAAGCTTTATTAAAACATAAAAAGTGTAAGCTCACAACGATTTGCGTAAATTACCGATAGAAGCCTGTTTACAGTACGAGTAGAAAAAACTAAACCTGTATAAAGCATGAAACACCTGATGAATTATGTTGACATCTCATTTTCCTAACGTTTATCTTAATACTTTTACGATATAAAAAAAGGTTCATAATGTTCAATCAATCAATCAAATCTTTAATTTTTCCCAACACATACATTTACATATAATATTATTTAACATTTGAATTATTGTGTATGGATGGATGGAGGTCTCCAAAAAGCATAAGCTTGTCGAGTGGAGACCCCAACTGTAATAAAGAACAATTACAATTACAAGTACAATAACATTAACAATTAATTACAACTAGAAGTACAACGATAGGAGTTAAATAACAAAAACTATTGATACAGAGCTAGTAATACGAAATAAAACTAGAGCTATTTGGTCTTACAAAATGAGATCATTCTACCACATATTTGTTAATTAATTGGGTTTTATATTTGCGTTTGAACAATGATACATTTGACACCTTTTTAAGAGACGGATTGAGAGAATTCCACAGCTTGGGGCCTTCATGTTTAACAGTTTTTTGGGTTATGCTGATGATGCGTATTCTTTTCTTTGTGAACACGTCAACACGATTTCCATTACGATTTTGGGAAAATGAATAAGGTATGGGCTACAATGATCAAATAGCATTTCTGTAACTTTCAAGCTGATCTTTGATTGTAGCCTTCGGGACAATAGACCCGTAGCGTTTGAGAAAATAATAACAAGAAACTGTGTAAGTGTTAATGTTTACGTATCGGGTGGTCTACGTTTTGATGTCCAGGCGAAAGATTAATCATATTCTTTAATGAAAAAAAAAACCCAGCGCTTCTCCATCCCCAATTGTAAAAAAAAATGGTTTGATTGCTTTTTAAAGCATAGTTGATAACAATAAAGCATTATTACATTAACCCATCGAATCGTAAAAGAATATTACAACAGTTCCAATGTCAGCAACTACTCTATTTTGATGTATCTCAATATAAATACATAAAAACGCAAAAGAAGGAAGTAACTCCAGTCAAAACTAATTATTTGTAGATCGTGAGGAACAAAATATTAAAAGTGACGCTATTGAGCGACTTTCTTTTTAACCCCCGACAGGAATTTTACCAATCCATAGATTCCTCTTTCGGGTCGTACTTGGGGCTGTTCTCGGAGTAGAACTGGGCGAAAAATCGGCGATGTTTCGCTATCAGATGATCCTCCTTCACAAACGGGGGGTTACGAACGTACTTCTTGTTGGCCCACACCGGAAGGTCACCCCAAATCTGTAATAGTAGAAATGATATCAAGTGATCATTTCGAAGCTGGGCAGAAAAGGACGGGGAAAGCATGTATATATAGAAACACACCAATGGGCCAAGTGATCTTCCTACTAAAATGAGACCGTTTATGGTGGCTCCATGTACGTATATGAAGATCCAGCGGTAGGGCAGACACGACACGGTGCCAGGGGAGTGAACGACAGTACTGACTGAGGAGGAGGAGTGGCCACTGGCTTGGGTGGGGAGGGCGGAATTCTTACCTGGTAGAACTGTTCATACAAGACCCTCTTGCCAATGTAGAATGAGATAGGTCCTCTCCGGGTATACCCAGTGGTCACAATCCTCTGTCGCATGGGTCCAATAGGAGTGACGGTTAAGACCAATTGTAGCTCACCCAGCATGGGACTGTCCATGTGGAAATGGGCGAAGCAGGGTCCTATCTGTTATGATCAATCAACACGTGAAACGGGATTTGTTATAAGTTTCCACTCACTTAACCTGCGTCATATACGAAAAGTATGTTGTAGTTTGATAGTTTTGTTCCACAACATGTCAATATGAATTTCAAATTTGCACCATTCATAACATGGGTACAGTGTAAATCACGAATGTGGCGATCTAATTCGTCCTTGTATCGGCATATTTGTTCCACGTGCATGTCGACATTCGGCTTATGTGACCCGTGATAGGATTTGGGCCACGAACGATACCAGCAATGCATCGGTACTAAATCCCCCTTTTATTTTTTTTTATTTCCGAAATATTACCCCGAACCAAAAGCTGGATGTGTTGTAATGTAAGCCCGACGAGGAAATTTTTCCACGCATACCTGATCGATTTGGAAGGTATTTTTCGGCAGTTTCAACAGTCCGAAAAACAACTCATGATGCTGGTTGGTCATACGAAGTTCAGCCACGTGCTTTATGGTAGGATGTGGCTCCCAGCTGACGTCACTAAAATGGGCCTGGCCAGCGAATGCCCTCCTGTCAGGAAAACAAGGGACATTGTGGCCTTCAAAGTGGCCTTCAAAGGCAGTTACTCTAGTTTCCATATCGACGTTAAGCTCATGCCGACTACGAAGACAGCGAGTGGAACCTTTGTGACCGTCTGCGAGATAGTTTGCGTCTGTCTTTTTATATCTGTCGGCGACTTTTGCGGGTAATGTTTCCACAATGTCTGCGTTGCAGTGGGTCTTTTTTTTTGCGTTCCTTTCTGCGTTTCTTACATCGATATGGAAACCAGGCTTAAGTCTCCGCTTACGCTGTAGTGTCTTAACGCCAAATGCCACATGCACTGGCACCACAGAGAGGGCCTATACCCAAATATCACATTGTGCTTTGCACGTTGCGCGCGTTTACATCATGACGACCGCAGCCAGCGCTAGCGTTAAACGGCAGAGCCTAGCCGGCCAGCAATGACTTTATCTGTCATCAAGTATAGTAAATGACCACAATGCTCATGCGTCAGTGGGTAATGGAATGGTTCTCGGACCTAACTTCCTTTCAAAAAAGTGGTAACTTTATTTCATGGATCAGTAGAATATAAATTCACTTATGGGGAAAACAAGAAAAAAGTCATCGAACCCCCAACATGCAGCATTGTGACCATTGACCTAACGCAGCAAGCCATGGTGCCACGATCTTCGCCGGAAATCTAAACTATTATTGTTTCAAAGCACCTGCCACATTAATTCAATCACGGGATATGCACGTTGCGTATTCCTTCAGCGTCCAGTAATTACAGAAACCAATAACCCTAAAAGGGCCGGATTATTTTGACCATCTCTCAGCCGGGGGGGGGGGGGCGATTCATCTCGGCCATCGAGTGACGAAAGATTGTGAAACTCGGTACATGCATAGAACAACTCATCATAAACATACCCAAGAAATATCATGACTATAGGTCAATGGGCTGTGGAATTATGGCTTATTATTTATTCATATGTACGAATGGTAATTCTACTCTGTGTACTCGATGTATATGGGAACATTCAGTTCGCAGGAAAAGTTTTTTATTCCGATTTTTATATTCTTGGTATCAAAAGATGCGCAAGGCTCGATTAAATTAACTTGAAATTTAATTATTCCTTGCCGTCATTAACTTACGGCCCATGAAGATAATCTAGATGGGAAACATCAGCTCCGTTTTCAGGGGTGTCCTTTTGAATAAGAAAGCAGAACATGAGTTGGCAATTTCCAAGCGAAAAATCTTTGTATACACTTTGCCTGTTTATAACATGACCATGCATGGTAGAAAAAAATAAACCACAAAATGACTGTTGCGAAAGTACAAGAAGAGCTCAAGAAATTTGACTTACAAAAAAATCAATCAAAAAACAGTATGCATATCAATGACTTACCAGCAGTGTCATCGACTTTAACATCTGTTATCAATTAATATATAATAAACAGTGTGCATATCAATATGATAGTTAAGGTGATGATTTACCAACATGTTGCAACAGTCTTAACAACTTCTACATACATTTATATGTCGACACTTAAATCGTTCCCCCCCAAAAAAAAATGACTTTATGAGGCTGTAAAAAAAGCTTTCACCAATGTCTTGCTGTCTATGAGTGACAAACTAACCTCGTTATGGCTGTCGAGTTCGCAAACCGTGAATCCAACAGGTTGAAGTTTCCCATTAGTTAGATGTTCGAGCTCCGGGACTTGCCAGTCTGGTTCCTTGCCTTCGGCATGGTGCCACAGCCAGATCCTGTGATTGACTTCGCAGCACTGGTAGGTGGGGATCTTCACAAAGTCGGGGACTGTCAAGATTATAAGACTTTTTTAAGTGTCATTTTACGAATCGACAGTGTATTCTGACTTAACGGGTATTCAAGCCCAACACCCAAAGCAACAAACCTAACTCAGCCATAGCACAACCGGGTCCAACCTAATACAACTTAACCCAATCCAAATAAAGGCATTCAACCCAGCCCAACCTGACCAAATCCACCCAACCCAGCCCAGCTCAGCCCAGCCCAGCTCAGTCCAGCCCAGCCCAGCCTAGCCCAGCCCAGCCCAGCCCAGCCCAGCCTAGGCCAGCCCAGCCCCACCCAACCAAGCCTTGGTTTCGTTACATTGCAACCTAAACAAACCCAAAGGAACCCACCCATAAACCGCCCCAACCCAAACCCAACCATAATATTTAGTCCACAACCCAACCTGAGCTAACCCTCAGCATATCGTTTTACTGTACCTGTGGTTCAAATTCGGTTCACTCTATATACTAAATTTCCTATATTTTTCACGCAGACCCGTACGTGCAGAATCAAGGTTAATTAAATCTGGATATGCAAACATGATAAGTACAGGACATACATTCTAAACTTAACATTGTCTTTTGCTCGGTACACTCAGGTCAATTTTTGGATGGATCAGGATTCAGGGACGTGATAAATAGTAAATGATGTGATGGTATAAACAGCAAAAAGGATTGTGGGCTATAGACACCTGGCAAGAAAAGAGGATGAAAGATAGAGCCGACTGACAACAGAATCGCAACCACTTTAGGGCAAAAGGAAGATAGGGAAACCTAGGTCATGATGGAGAGATGAGTTGGTGGTGAAAATGGGGACGGCAGCTTGGAAAAGACGTACCAAAGATAGAGAGAAATTGCGTGCATTAGAAAAGGCTTTTGCAGCAGGACGATACAGGTTGATAATAATGATAATGATGATTTGAAGCATTCATGCTTTTTCTGTATGTATTTAAAAGTAGATTAATTTAAGAAATGTAAAATTTAGTTGCCCGTCATACGATTCGTGCAATTAAAAACAAACAATGACAATATGTTGCTGGTCCTGTATACCTTTTTCCGCGTATCCAATATGGACGCACTTGCCGTCTTCTCCCCGGTATCTCCAGCCATGGAAGGGACATTCGATACATTCACCGTGCACTGAGCCACCTATGGCCAGATTGGCGCCTAGATGAGCACAGTAGGCGTCAACGACGTAGGGCCGCCCACTTTCTCCTCGGAATACCACCAAGTTCTTACCTAGAAAATGAGAGGGAGCCTGTACTTAAATGGCCAATATGCATGAATGGTACCTTGTTTGACGTTGCCAAATCACTTGGTTTGCGTGGGTCGATTTTCCATGTAATTCTTTTATTTTAACTTATCTGTTTTGTTAATAAAAGCAATTTTCTTATAGTGGGCCTACCAGCAACGGACACGAATTTGTGCTCCTTCTTCTTCAATTCAGACGACATCAGGATAGACATCCAGCCATTCGGGTAGACAGGAGGAACATCTCCGACCTTCCGACATCTCTTCATATCCCTCACTCGTTCCTCAGCCGATTTGCCGTCGGCTGGGCCGTCCACTAAATACGTATATTTGGTCTCGTCGCAGTAGAGTGCCAAGGGCTCAGTCACCGCCTTGTACAGCTGAACAGCCAAATAAATCAGCACAGCAGCAAGTCCGTAGACAAGAACAAACTTGAAGTCAGAACTGTGGGCGACTTGGTTGATTTTCTCAGACACAACCTCAACCGAAATGTTGGCATTCTGCACGTGATTAGCGAGCTGCTTCGCGTAATCTTCAAGAATCAGAGGACGGGTGACTAAACCTGCCAGGAAGACCGGCAGGATGAAGGACAAAACGCCAGCTTTTGAGACGGCCATATCTAGCTGACCCTACTATAAAACTCGTAATGGTGTGCGCCTAAACTGATCGTTCAACGGCAGTGTCTGAGTTAAGGCCAGCGTTATAATTGCTACCTCGGTCATCGTTCATCGTTAATGGGACCAACGAACTTTAGGCCAAATAAAAAAAATGAATATTGTTTCTCATCTTGCCACGCGTCGATTTTGATATCGTTGGTTACTTGTCAATGGCTCTCGTGCACAGCCGCAAAGATTTTTTTCTGCTTGGAGTCGCTCAAACGACAATAAATTGTCAAAGCCCGAGAGCTTTTGACCAAAGTTCAGTCTATTTCTATTTCTATTTCGCCGCACTCTGAAGAGAGGTTACTTTATTGACCTGATGCTGAAATTGTATGTACTTCATATTGTTTTTCTTCTATAACTGCCACCCCTTAGGCACGTAGGCCATTCGCTAAGCACATGCATTTATAAAAACCACAGATAAGGACCTCAAAAGTCGTCTTCAATGTTCTAGTAGAATATCCGCTCTTTGCATTTTTGTATAGTTTAAAACGCCTGATTCAACACTGATACCGGTATGGCATAGAAATGCCACAAAGAACGTGGAAGATAATTCTCCGAGCTATTTTTGAGTTTTATCGCAAAACATTCTTTTCTGTGAAAGTTTCATTCAAAAGTTATTCACTTTTGATAGAGACATCGACCGACAATATCGGCACATGTTTATTTAGTGAATTACACTTACACGTATTACGTTCTTGCGTGGTAGACTGGCTCCCGCCCCACAATCAGTATCCATAAAAAAAAGATTCGCCTACAATTTTGGTTCCTAACTTGCCAATTCCAGCCAAACATTACTAAATGTTTACTTACAGGAATATCAGATCATATGATATATAAAGCAAATGGTGTGTTTGTTTTTAATTTGATCGGAAAATTAAAAGCTTTTAATGGTAAATCTAAAGTGGAAATGAAGCCGAGCTATATATATGGACCACTTTTTTTTCAGACGTCAGGACAAAATTGTCAGGTCAGGGAACGAGACTTTTTGGCCTTGGGCAACGGAACCATTGTCCCCACCAGGCTTCCATAAAAACAAACCGTTAACAACGTGTTACGTCATCAGAGGCCTATTCTGTACCTTTACAGCTGGGGCCTGAAACCAAAGGCTAGGTCCTTCCGAAAAAAAACCCCGCGGAAATGAAACACACAGATATTGATAAAGATGTCCAATAAGGTTTGTTAAAGGGAAAATACAACATTTGCAAACATCGAAAAATAAAACTACCAAGTTGTTACCAAATACCTCACTAGGATGTTGGTAAATGACACTCTAAAGCATCCTGTAAACTATGGCACCTGGTGTGAAGTCATTTTCAAGAAAAATGGTACTTTTGTATACATTTCCAACGGTGGTCGGCCGTCCACCTTTGGAAAACGTACTTTTTTTCAACTACTGCTCGAATGTACCTTTTTTTCAGTCCAAATTTTGTTTGCTATTGGTTTCATGTTCATGAACAGGTGCAGGTCAGCTATACTGGTTCCCTAACTTTACAATTTTCCGGCATTTTTGATCCATTTCATCTTAAGTGGAGTCAGGGAACCAGACTACTTGAACGTTTTAGTTTTCCTTGGTTTTTCCAGCATTTTAGAACACGAACACTTCAAACATGTCAGTGTAACAATATTTGATCTTTTATACTAACCTCCCCCAACTAGTTCATTTCTGAAAATTAGAGCAAAAGCCAATGATGTACATTCTCTTTAACGCTCTGTGTGATGTTTCAATTCATCGAGGTACCAAAGAGTGAGGCGTTTTAAATAAAAACAAAAAAAGCAAGGTGTGGAATAATAATGGCAAAATTGCAAACGACTTTTAAGGATGTTATCAGTGGTCTGATAAATACCTTTGATTATGAAATGGCCTACGTGCATAAGGGGAGCAGTAGGCAAGAATGAATATGTAACGTATGTAAGTATCAGGTCAATATAGGCACCTCTATGCAAAGTGCGCCGAAATGGACATAAAAATAGACCGAACCTTGGTCAAAAGCTCCCGTGCTTTTATTTTTTTATCAGTTGTCCTTTGAGCGACTCCATGCAGAACAAAATCTGTGTGGCCTATTCACAAGAGCCATGTGGCGCTAAACCAGTAACAACACAAACTTGACGCGTGGCTGAACGAGAAACAATCATAAATATTTGTCTGGCCAAAAGTTTGTTGGCCACGTTATCAATCAAATATGACTGAGGCGGGCACTCGCTATAACGCTGACACTGACCTTCACTCACACAGTAAAGTTGAGCGATAAGTTTAAGCCCACACCAATTCCGAGTTTTATGACTCTAGGTTCTGGTAGATATGGCCGTCTCAAAAGCTGGAGTTTTGTCCTTCATCCTGCCAGTTTTCTTGGCAGGTTTAGTCACCCGTCCTCTGATTCTTGAAGATTACGCGAAGCAGCTCGCTAATCACGTGCAGAATGCCAACATTTCGGTTGAGGTTGTGTCTGAGAAAATCAACCAAGTCGTCCACAGTTCTGACTTCAAGTTTGTTCTTGTCTACGGACTTACTGCCGTGCTGATTTATTTGGCTGTTCAGCTGTACAAGGCGGTGACTGAGCCCTTGGCACTCTACTGCGACGAGACCAAATATACGTATTTAGTGGACGGCCCAGCCGACGGCAAAACGGCTGAGGAACGAGTGAGGGATATGAAGAGATGTCGGAAGGTCGGAGATGTTCCTCCTGTCTACCCGAATGGCTGGATGTCTATCCTGATGTCGTCTGAATTGAAGAAGAAGGAGCACAAATTCGTGTCCGTTGCTGGTAGGTCCACTTTAAAAAACTACTTTTATTGGCTTTTTAATATAGTTACGGAGAAATGTTGAAAATGAATAATCAGTTGATGTGTGTGGCGACTGGCGAAGTTTGCTTTATAATTAAGTCACTTTATAATGGTAAACTTTATAATCAGCTTAGAACAAATTGAGTGGGAGACATGCACATTGATGACGTCACCAGACCCAGACCGGAGTTTACAATAAAAAAATACCTTTAAATTTACAAAATTGTTAAATTTTAAAGGTAATAGTTTCAAGGTTTAAATTGGTGGTTATGTCGTCACGATGACGTCATCGAATATCAGATTTACAAGCAAACCAAAGATTTTTATTTTATTTCTTTCTGGTAATGAAACCAAGGATCCCTCAAAAGTGCCCTAGGCACTGTAGCCCGAAAGCCTGAAGAAACCTGTGAAGAAGACAATGAGAAGAAATTACAGTTTTAGAGGTGGGAGGAAAACCCCAGAAGAATATCCTGGGGAAAATCCACGGAATCAGGTAGGGACTGAAAACACAATCCACATATTGGCCCGGGCGGGATTCGAACCCGGGTCACAGCGGTGGAAAAGATTTAAAGATTTAATCAATCTAAAATCAACTTTAAGAGATCTGATTTTGCTTTTTACTGGAATTGATTGAATAATTCAGGGTCTTAATTTTTGATATAAATTTTTGTTAAAATCACGTGAACCTTCTTTCCATTTGAAATCGGAAGTGCCTTGTAATTTGCAATTGGTAACAAATGTGAACTTCTTTCAACGATGTTAGTTTACGGCAAGGTTGGGCTTTTAATGCAGAACAGCCCTATTTTCTGTTCTCAAAGCTATCTAAGTTCTGTTGTCTAAGTTGAAATATATGGGGATTCACCCCACACAACCAAGTGATTCCAGAACGTCAAGCAAGGTATACACTTTTCATTATTATTGGCCATTTAAGTACCGGCTCCCTCTCATTTTCTAGGTAAGAACTTGGTGGTATTCCGAGGAGAAAGTGGGCGGCCCTACGTCGTTGACGCCTACTGTGCTCATCTAGGCGCCAATCTGGCCATAGGTGGCTCAGTGCACGGTGAATGCATCGAATGTCCCTTCCATGGCTGGAGATACCGGGGAGAAGACGGCAAGTGCGTCCATATTGGATACGCGGAAAAAGGTGCATATTAACATGCCTATGTTTTTATCACAATTCACAATGGTTTCAGTCTGAAAATAACTATGTAAGGGCGAAACACTGTGCGAAGATTTAGGAGTTTTATTCAAGGGTAATCATCAAACACGCTGTGAGATTGTTTTTCCTTGCATATCATTTTTTAAATGGCGGGAATTGTATGATGGACAACTGAGATAAAACATTTCTGAAATGTGTCTTCTTTTCTTTCAAATACAATCGGAAATTCTTCGAAGGATTTGACCTGAATTAATACTTTCTTCAAAATTTAATTGAACAATTTTGGTATTTATCGTAGTTTTTTTTTTCCACGTTGACTGGCAGCTAACCGAACAAAATACTTTAGTAATTTTTTTTTTAAAGAATTTATCTCATGGCGATGCTTATCATGTTTGTATATCCAAATTTAACTCCATTGATTTCTAAACATAGAACGGGTCAAATTAGGAATTTGGCTGCATAAAGCGACTTTGGACCACATGTAGATTGGTATGAATTGAGACACATCTTTGTTGAAGGGTATCTCAGGTCGGGTTGTGGGCCCCGTTGAGTGGGTGAGTCGATTGGAGTGGGTTGGGTTGGGTTGTGTTGGATTGAATTGGATTGGATTGGATTGGGATGGGTTGTGTGGGTTGGGTTGGGTTGGGTTGGATTGGATTGGAATGGATTGGGACGGGTTGGGTCGGATTGGGTTGGGTTGGGTTGGAATGGGTTGGCTTGGGTTGGGTTGGGTTTGATTTTGATGGCTTGAATTGGGCTGAATTAGATTGGGTTGGTTTGGGTTGGGTTGTGTTGGGTTGTGTTGGGCTGGATTGGATTGGGTTGGCTTGGGTTAAGTTGTGTTGGATTGGGTTGGGTTGGGTTGGGCTGGATTGGATTAGGTTGGGTTGGGTTATGTTGGATTGGATTGGGTTGTGTTGGATTGGCCTGATTTTTTTTGGCATTCAATAGGGGACGTTAAACAATAGAGGACAATAGTGGAGTATTGTTTGTGCTAGCATGAGTAGCCCGAAAATATGACAGTATCTATTTTTCACAAAATTAGCTTTAAGAAGTACAATCTTTTTAGCTGGACGGTGCAAATACCAGCTGTGCCACTTTAGACCGCCATTTTCGGATGTCGAAAGGTATACTATAACAGAAAATAATATGAAGATCAATCATAAAATGTTGCGAATAAATGGCCATGTCCCAAGGACAGAGTTTAGTTGGGGATGTCTGATTTGGTTTGGGAGGGAGTGGCTGTGTTAGGTCGGATGAGATAGGTTTGCGTTGGGTTAATGGGCTGCAATGGTGTAGATCCGTGTCTGCAAGTGGGTGGATGGGGGATGATTAAAATTCTTAAATTGCCCGGCCGTGGAACTTCCACATTACATTGAAGAAGGCGCTGTTTATGATACAGATGTTCACCTTCATTGCGTGCTTACGCGCCTTAATCTTACGTGAAAACGGCGCATTTTAAGCTTTTATATTATTTTTTTCTCTCCATTTTCCAGCGCTATTTATTAAAAAAAAATGACTATTGGAAAGTTCGAAGAAATACCTTAATAGCCGTATTCTGTGCTTCTCGCCAAAAAAAAAGGCCTGTGCCTAACCTGGCATACTTTTTCAAGCTGTGTTAACTACATAAAACCTGTCGAAATGACTTATCCCACTGACACATCAGTAAAATGCTATCAAATCCCAACAGTACCCGACTTTGTGAAGATCCCCACCTACCAGTCCTGCGAAGTCAATCACAGAATCTGGCTGTGGTACCATGCTGAAGGCAAGGAGCCCGACTGGCAAGTCCCGGAGCTCGAAGATATCAATAATGGAAAGCTTCACCCTGTTGGCTTCACGGTTTGCGAACTCGACAGCCATAACGAGGTAAGTCCTTCACTTCATGGACAACAAGACATTGGTAACAGCTTTAACTTCAGCCTTATGTCTTTTGGAAAAACGGATAACATAATGCTCTAATAAGTCGATGTCACTGCTGGTAAATCAACACCTTAGGTGCATTATATTGATATACATCACACTGTTTATTTATATTTTCTTGTAAGTCAAAAAGGCTTGATAGCACTTTCAACTACAGTCATGCATTTTGGGGTCTATTTTTTACTTTCTCTTCATCAGGACACCCCTGAAAACGGAGCTGATGTCGCCCATCTAGATTACCTTCACGGGCCGTGAGTTCATTAAGGAAAGAGATTATCCGATTTTTGCCACCACTTTTTTTTCACCAGACACCCCGCTCCGTAAAATCAAATGGTTGTGGTGGTGGTGGGGGGGGGGGGGGGGGGGGGGGGGGGAGAGGGGCCACCATCTTCCAGGGGGGCTTTGTTCAAAACATTGTCATGGTGAATGTTAGACAGTAACTATAACGGCTCTCGCAAAAAGAAAAGGTTGGTGACAAATACGCAAAAAAATCGCGGAAAAGGGGACTCATTTTCTTCCAGCTAATCATGGTAACTCATACGGCTGTGCTTCTTTCAGGATATCAATTTCCAGTGGGGGGGGGGGGGACGGGGGTGTCAACTTTGTATGGGGGCGTGCGCCTCCCCCCCCCCCAAACGAACCCCCCCCCCCCCCCCCCCCCCGTGGCTTAATTCGCCGCTGCTTTACATGCCTTCGGCTCGGCCACGCTGTAGCCTCGTCTGCATCCGCAATTCAGCTTCTCAGCTGCGAGTAAGGACGCTTAGCCCTTACCCCACCCAAAACATTGATGAATACCCTTTAAAAACAATGAACGAAAAGTTCCAAAGGAAAACAGTGAAAAAAAGCATCATTCTCATTGCAGAAAAAAAGCTACTTGATTAATTGCTCATTACAAAACCAAATCTGGCAGTAAAAATAATACTTTAATCTTAACTCATTTAGTTTATTAAAATCTCATTTGAAATTGAATGCATGTGTGTAAATCTCTGGTACTGACACCGAACTGCGCAGAGCTTCAAATTGGCATTCCGTGGAAATAGCTGTAAACATGGCTTTAGTAATACATACATAACCATTGGGAGCATGTTTAATTTCAATGATTTTTTTTTCACATGAGTTCTTATGTTCTTTTAATACATAATCTCATGGTTATATCAAACTTGATTGCTTGTGTAAAAAAAAACCATTAGTCAAGGTTTATTTCTTATTGAGTCATCCCGGAATTCTTCTATTCGCTGGCATGGCCCCTACCATGTACCGCCTTATCCAAAGGCGCTTGTGACCGCTAATCCCTTTCACGAAAACTTGTTCAGGAAACGCAGTTTAATATAGTTCACAAAACACTGAATGTTCAAGGGCGTATATAGCAAGGTCATTTTGATTGGGGGTTGGATGTAAAAAGGGCACTCGCTATATCATCCGTCCTGAAAGGAAGACAGGGTTTTCTCACTGATATCAGACATTTTCCATGTTAGCAAATTTGCTAACTTTAGTGTTCCAAGACAATATCGCCGTCTGATTGTAGTCTAGGCACCAGTTGTTAAAGAGGAGCCAAACGGACTATGCAACGATAGCACAAGGATCTGGTTACCATTGTCTTTGGATAGAGGCGGATGGAGCAAGCGAAGTTGAGAGGCCTCGCTCCTGTGACAAAACTTCCAAAACTTAAAACGTAATATTCCCATTTAGATTTTTGTAAACTAAATTTCCTGTTTCCCTTTCCCTGACAGGAGGGCTTTCGTTGGTCAGGCCCACTTTACCGACGTCAGCTGGGAGCCACACCCTACCGATAAGCATGTGGCTTTACTTCGTATGTCCACCAAACCCCCGTATTTTTATAATCTGTTCAACCTGCCGGCAAACACCTTCCATATCGAGCAGGTATGAGTAGAGAACTTTCCCACATCAGGCTCATTGTAAAACCAATCCTGATGTTCGGAATATAAATTTTATAAAAACAAAAATATAAAAGGGGGATACTAGGACCTGTAAGCTGCTGTACAATATAAGCCAAATGTCGACATCCACGTAAGACGAATCGATAGAAACAAGGACGAATCAATATGCCATATTCGTGAATTAAACTGGACCCAAAATGTTATCCGTTTGTGTACATATTTACATTTTTATTGGAACTTGTGGAACGAACTGTGTGATTATTATACAGGGTAATTAATTGGAAACAGGCATAAAATGCTGTTTCGCATTTTGATGGATCATAACAGATAGGACCCTGCTTCGCCCATTTCCACATGGACAGTCCCATGCTGGGTGAGCTACAATTGGTCTTAACCGTCACGCCTGTTGGACCCATGCGACAGAGGATTGTGACCACTGGGTATACCCGGAGAGGACCCATCTCATTCTACATTGGCAAGAAGGCCTTGTATGAACAGTTCTACCAGGTAAGAATTCCGCCTTCCCCTCCCAATTAGCCGCGCCTATGGCCACTCCTCCTCCTCAGCCATGTCAGCCCGTACTGTCATTCACTTCCCGTAGGCCTGCTGTCGTATCTGCCCTTCCACTTGATCACCACAGTACACACGCAGGTCATCACTGCGTCTCATTTTGGCGAGAAGATCATTGGCCCATTGGTATGTGTTCCTTTAGGACCAGCATTGTGGAGCCACATTGATCCACTCTCGCTTCGTGTTGTACAAGTCAAATGAATCAAGAGCCGCAGAGTAAAAAACAAATGATGAAATCAACCTAGGATATACAGGGTGATTAAAAAAAAGAAACCCAAATGTCGGCACCATTTTTGTAGTGAAGTTCTGCATGTAGCACTTTCAAAATCTAGGGTATGAAAGCCAAATTCATAAGCTTTCGTTTAGTACAAGAATCAATCAAATCACTTATGTACTTTTTAAGTTAAGGAGTTTTAAACACAATCGCCGTTTTAAGGTTCTGTCCACGGATCACAAACAAGTTCAGTGTTCTCTCAGCAACACGAAAACAATAAAGGATGTGTGTGAATTGGCGTTTTGCTGAAAGAACACACACCTTTTGTGTGATCCGTGGCCAGAACTTTAAAACGGTGGTTGCGTTTAAAACTCCTTAACTTGAAAAGTACATGTGATTTGAATGATTCTTGTACTAAAAGAAAGCTTATGAATGGGGCGTTCATATCCTTGATTTTGAAAGTACAACATGCAGAACTTCAGTAAACAATTGTCCCGACATTTGGGTTTCTGTTTTTTGACTCACCCTGTACTCCAAAATATCTAAGAAACAAGTTCCCAGCATGAATTGAATCAGATACATGTACTTGCATTATTAAGACTAATTAAACATGGTCCAGGCCGGACCTCATAGCGAACGGGCTACCCTTCCTACCTCTACACCGGCCTGCTTTATCCTGCTGCCTGTTAATCTGCCCAAACAAGCCTTGCTTCACCATCCCCACTACATGTTCGCCAGTCGCGATGCCTTCCCCATTATATAGACTGCCTGCCTCGAAATTAATAGTAATATGATTTCCTCTACTAGATTTGGGGTGACCTTCCGGTGTGGGCCAACAAGAGGTACGTTCGTAACCCCCCGTTTGTGAAGGAGGATCATCTGATAGCGAAACATCGCCGATTCTTCGCCCAGTTCTACTCTGAGAACAGCCCCAAGTACGACCCGAAAGAGGAATCTATGGATTGGTAAAATTACCGTCTAAGGTTAAAAAGAGAGTACATGTGTATCTCAAAGCTGTCACTTTTAATATTTTGGCTTGGCGATCTACGAGTAAAGGCTTAAGACTAGAATTTTGCGCTTTCTTTTTTAATTCATATGCAAAGAACATTCATGTAATTGCTGTAATAAAAGGAATTATTTAAGTGTTGTTATTGTCATACGATTTGTTACGTTAGCGTATAATTGCTTCATTATAATGTGCTATACGCTTTAGAAAGCAACCACATAATTAATGTTTTACAAACAAGGATGACGAGGCGTTGAGTTAAAATAGATATATCTTTTTTAGAATGTAATTACTGTTTCGCTCGGAAACCAAAACGAATTGGTCTAGATGAGCGTAGATAAACATTAAAAACGTTTGACTCAATTTTAAAGGGAAGGGGCCGGGAATGTCTAAAACAAATATTTAGGGGAATATTTACCTGAATACCATTTTGAAACGTTTTGAAACGATTTTATTGCTGTATTTTGTGAACCCTACCCACAAGTATGACAGAATTGAATTGAAGAAAATAATTTGTTTGAACGTACTCCCGAAATTTCCTGTAATCGTAGAAAAATTCCCAGTTTCGCCCGAGGGCTAATTCATTCAAAACTTTTTGATAACTTACTTTGTTTTCTGATAAACACGTTGTGTGACATGAATAAATAATCCACCTATTGAAATTGAAGTTAAGATGCACTTTGATGTGACAACTGAAGGTTACAATTTTCGAATATCACTTCACTTCGTCGACGTTTCTGGGAATCGCCGAAAGAGTGCAGTAGTTACAACCTCGATCCAGCTCTTCGTGAGAGGCATCATATAGGAAATAACGTTCTTGTACCTTCAGGGGGGTGAGGTGGGCATGCGCAAATACAAAACACTGCGACGACCATGAATTTTACGACGGATTATGTTATCATTTACTCAATTGTTGCAGTTCGATGGTCCAAAAGACAAGGGATCCTATTAAAAATCGTTTAATGTACCTGGAAACTTGCACAATTGTTTTGAGCATTGTAGCCTATTTGATCCCTCCAAATCATAAGGGAAAATCGTGTGTACAGAGAAACAAATAATGAGTATCATCAGCATGCTTTTTTATTAACAAAAACGTGTTAATATTTTCATCATCTGCTTGCTCTTTATATAGTTTGCTTTTAGTAGCCTATACTTCTATTTGTACTGTAAACAGGTTCTTATCGATAATTTAGGTACAACGTTGTGAGTAGCGGCGTAGACGGTGGCGTGGCATGGGGGCACGCTCCCTCTAAACAATCTGGAAATGTGTATCACCATGGTTAATGGTTTAACAGAAAGTGGGCGCCCCCACATAACATCCAGTCCCCTACCCCAACTTCCCCGTGTGAGAATTTCCCTGGCTACGCCGCTGGCTTTGAGTTTACACTTGAAATATTTCGACAGATTTTCGCCAATCTCTGCCAGATCATAATTATAAGTAGTTGTGTTTTGTACAAGGCATGCTGCGAATAAAACTGACAAAAGAGGGCTGAATTAGATCACAACAAAATAACTCCTCATGTAAAGGTATCATTAGCCGTTATAGTAAATCAACTTAGCGGAAATCCTTAACAGATGACATGTTGCAGTTTAGGTCGTGTCTATGATGTTGTTTGCGTTACAACTAAGCATTCGTTACAAGCGTTTTTTAATAAAACAACTTCATTTCCTGCTACAAATTTTGTCATAATTTTAACATCTTTCAAATAGACCTTTTGCAACCGCTTGAACGTTTTGGTAACTTTTAAATAATTTTACGATGCTTAATAATTTTACGATGCTTAAATCGCTACAGTGTGATATTCCTCGACGAGCAAGTTATTGTGAAGATACACCTTGCCCAACCTATTGCATATCCTTAGTCTACATGAAATAAAAAATAATTCGAATAAATCGTATTTAGATAGTGTACGTCTTGTTTGATTTGCTTTATTTCTTTTTTAAAGACGTGAACTATATTAAGTGACGGCGCTTATATTGTTTTCGCTGATTACACGCTATAATATGGCGTGCAGGAGAAGTAGCTATTGATCTTGTCAAAAAGGGGCTAAGGTTTCGTTCAGGTTATGAAAGAGATGAACAGTGTTTAATGAGCACTGCAACAATTGGTCCTCATGTTATACAGCAAGTTGTTGGTTTCCATAAGTCGTATAGTCGCACCTAAATCACCCCAAAAAGGTGAGAGCTGATTGCATGGTCAAACACAACTGAATATCAAATCGAGGACTGTCCCTTCAGTTTTGGTCAAGGCCTCAACCTCGGAAGAAATTGCCCATAATATAGCCTGAGACCCATATTTACATGCCAGTGAAAAGAAAAGAAGTAGACCCTACTCTACACCCACGAATTGCATGAATCAGTTTCGGAGACAATAACTTTTTTTCTGCTGTCAAAGTTAGCCACATGCCACGTCAGTCAGGAAACTGCCCCCCTCCCCCTCGACTTTTTCCGCGATAGCCTTTAACAATTTTTTTTTCGCGACCCGAGCTGTTATGACTTTTTAGCCTCGAGCCTTGCGCATCTTTTGACATCGGACCAGGGGTTGTCGCGCAGCGAAAATTTTTCCTGCGCTACGCACCGTGAAAACTGAATTTTCCCATATACGTCGTGTACACGGACCAGAATTACCATTCGTACACATGAATAATTAATTAGCCATAATTCCAAAAACCCTTTGACCTATAGTCATGATCTTGGGTATGTTCATGAAGAGTTGTTCTATGCATGTACCGAGTTTCAAAATTGTTCGTCACTCAATGGCCAAGATCTTACGGGGGGCCGCCCCCCCCCCCGGCTGAGAGATGGTCAAAATAACCCGGCCCTTATAGGGTTAACGGAGTGAATATCAGGCCACGCTCGAACGTTTTACTTACGCAATATACCAGAGCCATTAATCAGAGCGACAAGGTGAAGTGCTTTTCATTGAATAGAATACAAATAATGAATGTTCAGAGTGCAATGGTGAGAATATTTTCATGAGTTGAAAGATTGAATTTTCCATTCAACGAGGCGAAGCCGAGTTGAATGGAACATTCCATCTTTCAACGATTATCACCATTGCACGAATGCGAAACATTCATTATTTGTTTTTTATATAACCGACATACAGATCCTTGTCATTTGATTGGTGGAACTCCATCACGTGGCATTCGTTATTGCTCCCATTCATGCCGCGGATCAAAAAGTACTTTCCGCCCATGGGCAATCCGCTGCTTAACAGCCGATTTTGTGCTTACCCAGCCTCCGTTTATGGCATAGAGGCCGTAAAGCCCGCCGCACACGAGAGCTACGTCCTGAGCAAAAAGTCATTCGAGGCTGTTTGCTCAGCCCGAAGTTCACAAAATATCCCCGTGTTCGGTGATTTGTTTGCTCGCGAGGCCGTGAGGGAAATATCTATCCTTTTAAAATTAGTTTACCACGCAAGGTGAACAACTCACCGTATGCATTTAACCCGAGGTACCTTCTGAGCTAAAAAGACTATAGCCAATGAAATCACGTACTCTGTACACGTAATTTTCAGATATTTTTGTGCAAATCTTCTAAAGCCTGTTGGCGTTTGTCCCCATTTTTTAAATCACGCGACCGACAGACAAGAATATTGTGCTTTCATTGGTCACTTAATCTTTTAGCTCAGCCCGTAGCTCAGCGCGTAGGGTAGCTATCGTACGCGTGTGCGGCGGGCTTTAGCAGTAAGAAAGCGTGCTTAAAACTCCTCCTGGATGGTATAGTTTTTCCATACCTTACCGGTGTCACGGTCTCACTTCTCCGGCGTGCTAGCTTCCCGTCCCGGTTGGATTCGGCGGATAATTGAGCACGTTACAGTGCACGTTACATGAGCACGATACATGCTCATGAGTCCACTGTGCTTACTTTTCCTCGGGCTGTGTTGTGAAGTCTACCAAGTCCATTAATAACACAGTGATGGACACCCAAGAAAGAGTTTTGTAACACTCCCTATAGGTCAAGTCATTCCATGGTCTTGCAAGCATTCTGATTTGTGTTCCCAGTGTCATGTGTGTGTTTTCATGAGGGAATAAATACTAAGAACGAACTCCTTGCTCGATCGTGGTCTTTTTGGTTATTGCGCACGCCACGAAAATTCTGGATTCGACTGGTTCCCTGTGAATAACGTATACATACAAATATCCCAAGATCTTACGTGCACCAGTACAACACCAGACTCAGCACACCAAAAAAGTTGGCGAAAATGTACACTACTGCGCACAATAAAATTGGCGAAAATGTACACTACTGCGCAATTTTTCGCGTGCGTGTTGAAGCGAAATTTCCCTCTCGGAGAAGCTAGCACGCTGGAGAAGTGAGACCGTGACACCTGTCCGCCGGTTTTCACTGAGGACGCATGCGTGTAATACGCTGTGCACAATAATGTATACGGAAAGCCCAGTGTGATCAACCGAGCGTATCCATGAACAACGAGCACGTACACTGCAAGGGCGGATCCAGAACACAATGGGGGGGGGGGGGGGCAAAAAAACCAAACAACAAAGCGTATAAAGGGCCCCTAATTTTTGGGGGAATCCAGATGCTCTGTGGTGCGATCTGAGGCAATTTCTGACCACTTTAACACGCTAATGGTTGTGTACGCAGTGCCTGCCTTTATTGCGAAGTCACTTAAAAAATAAATGGGTTCGTTTGGGGGGGGGGGGGGGAGGAGAGGGGATCCACCCTGGTGAGCCCGTGTGCCGTGCTCGGAAAAAAACCCAACTATTCAACTAAGATCAATAAGTGGTTTTGCTGAATAATTTCGCTTTTCATGACTAATAAGTGTTCACCGAGCTTTCTGTTTCTATAAAATACAATCTTGTAGCAACCACATGTGCATGATGAATGAAATGTGTACGTGCGGGAATGCGACTCTAGCCGTCTCCCTTCACATAGCCTTTCTTCAAGCTGCGGCTATAGTCGTCAACAGCCAGCGAGGTGGGTTTAACCCCAGGGGAAAAACTTGCTTAAATCAGCGACGTCTCCATCCGACGCACGAGGCGACGCACGGCGCGAAGCACGACGGTGCGCTGCAACTGGCAACGAAAGGGGAATTATTGACGACACACCGCGTCGCCTCTTCAACATACACGCGACGTGAGTACACAACGCGTTGCATCACGTCGTCCCTCGCGACTTGTATCGTGTTGTACCATCGCACTGTGCCCTCATCAAGGTGGTTCCCATCCAAATGAGGGCGCTCACGACGGCGCCTCTTCCATGTTACTACTTCGCATGAAATGTCTTGAAGCAATCCCAAGAAACGCATATGGTGATGGGGCTCCACACTACCTGGTTGAACTTCGTCTATCCCCGTCAACCAGGCCCCTTACCTTTTTCCAGAGGGGAAATCATGTAACAAGTAAAAAAAGGGGACAAAAAAACGAAGCACTTTGTGCCAGCCATTGCTTGACGCGTTTGGTGCACTTTTTAAACAATAA